GCATCCCTCCCCCCCGCCCCACTCTCCCGCCCCCACTCTGCTTCATGTCAGAACAGAAACGCATCCGTCCTGACGTGCTGAAATATTCATGCAGGAGCAGCGCTGCTCCATCCTCGCGCAGGAGCTAAAGCGGGTGTTTAAAATATCAATTTTTCCGTGTGAATCAATTGCTCCGCGCGCAGCAGAGGAGAGTCCCCCGGCGGCGCCGCGGGCCGGGCCCGGCTGCTCCCCTGCCCGGACACCCGCTCCCCGGCCTTGTCTGCCCTCTGCCCCGCACCGCGCTGGGGCTCTTGTAAAGGAGGAGCATTTCCCCCCCTCTTCCCGCTTTGGGGGTGACAAGTGTTAAACTCAGCCGGTGTCATGATAGATTGCCTCGCGCTCCTCCAGCAGGAGAGGGCTCTTGAGACTGGACATCCATATTTCAGTGCAACACACGGCTCTCTTCAACGGAGCAGCGCCCGGTACATGCAGGGGTTGACTTCAGAACAAAACAGTAGCTATCTGCGCGGGGGGCAGGTGTGGGACAGAGCACGATTTCACTCCGGATCTCAGAGAGCTGGATGCTTGATTCCTGAAACACCATTTACCTCCGGGTCTCAGAGATCTGGATGCTTGATTCCTTGAACACCATTTCACTCCGGATCTCAGAGATCTGGATGCTTGATTCCTGAAACACCATTTACCTCCGGGTCTCAGAGATCTGGATGCTTGATTCCTTGAACACCATTTCACTCCGGATCTCAGAGATCTGGATGCTTGATTCCTGAAACACCATTTACCTCCGGGTCTCAGAGATCTGGATGCTTGATTCCTTGAACACCATTTCACTCCGGATCTCAGAGATCTGGATGCTTGATTCCTGAAACACCATTTACCTCCGGATCTCAGATGTCTGGGTGTTTTGGTTCCTTTAACACAAGAAAGAACCAAAAGGCCCAATGAAGAAGCACCGGTCTCTGATTTCAAGATAGTTGCTTGCAGTGCTGCTACTGATTTATCGGGACTTTCTACAGCTTTCTTGTACCGTTAATGCAGCATCCTGGCATTCCTTTCAATTGCTGGAAAGCGAATGCTAAGGCTGGAAAATGTCCATTTTGTAATGCAACACGCCACCACTCGTTTATTTAACCTCTGAAACAGACAATTTATTGGAGTGAACATACCTGTTAACATATCTCATTTGTCAAGTTAAGTTGTGTGCAATAGTGTAAACTCGGTAGAAGTGCTTGTTTGTGAATTAGATGCTAAAGATGAAATCAGAAGGAAAAAAAGTCTGAGAAGTCTTCATAACTAATATTGGCATGCCTTAAATTAAATCTCTGAATTAAAATTTCTCGTTTGTAAACTTTTGGATGTAAACTTTTAAGTAGGTCTACACTAGGGTACGTGCTGTTTAGTCATGGAGTTAAATCATTTTCACGACACTGATCCCTTCCAGTCGCAGCCAAGAGAAATTCTTCAAACCAGGAATGGAGAAAGTCTGTCCGTTTAACTAAGCAAACTGAACATTAAATCCTTGTTATTGTCGTTGTTGCTCTGCTATTTTACAAAAGTTTTAGATTTTAAATTTAAACTCTTCCAAGTCTCTTTCTCGGTGTGTCCGACTCTTCACGTAGCTAGACAGTCCTTTGCCACGTGGTGGGCTGTTAGGAACAAAACATTTTGCTTCCTGATTTGGGAAAGGCAAGGAAGTCCTTGCTGGAGTCCTGGTGAGACAAGGTTGCCAGCTGCCCTTTGAGCACGCTGGCACTGTTCCCGACTGAGCGTCCCAGGGACCCCGTTTCCAGAATGGCCCCTTTGGTGGTGGCCCAGGAAACTGTGGTGTTGCTCAGGGCTTGGTTCAAAGTACTGTGTCTGAATATGGGGTCGTGAAACACCCCGTCCACCCAGTTCCTGAGGTTGGTGACTGGGGAATCCTGGTGCCTGTCAATGACCCCCACAGGGGCAGACACCGCGGCGGAGGAGGGCACGGCCTGGCGCTTCAGCATGCAGGAAGGGTACTCAGTTTGGTTCAGGGAAGTGGCGGTGTGAGCCAGGGACCAGATCCTGGGCTTGGTCTCCAGGATCTGCTGCCCCTGCTGGAAGCACATTTTGGACTCGCAGCTCCTCTGCCTGGCGTGGATCAGGTCTTGCTCGCACTCGTCCACCACGCTCTTGAGACAGTTTTTAGCTCGCTCCAGGTCTTCCTCCATGGCGCCGGCCGGGATGGGCATCTTGAGGGCAGGCTCCTTGCAGTGGTCGCCGGCACACGTGTCGGCGGCCCGCATCTGGCTGCCCTCCAGGGCTGGGAAGGGCGGCTTCATCTCGCACTCCGAGCTCTCCGACTCCATGGGGTCGAAGTCGTCCAAATCGCTCAGCTCCAGCTCCTTGTCCTCTTTGCTCGCGGGCTCTGCGGGGAGGGGTGGGGGGAGGGGGGGAGTGGAGACAGCAGGACAGACAATAAATGGCCACACGCTGCTTGCCCATAGGGACCCCAACCTGGGAGACCCGGAGAGCTACACCCGCAGAACTACAGCCTGGTAGCCTGCACCAACCTCTGTGCCAACAGGCTGGGCGGCGGGGGGGGGGGGGGGAAGCCCTGTACCAACAGCAGCCTGCTATTCCCAGTACGTCCTAATCAATCATGCGACCCAGAAACACTAGGGATAATGTGCCCATCTTGCTGGGGTCATCTGATCCCAGCGGTCCTTCCTGCCCAAGTGCAGCGGGGGCTGGACCCGATGATCTGTAAGGTCCCTTCCAGCCCCTAACAACTCTGAAAGTCAGGGCTTAACAGGAGCCACTCTAGCTACCCTAGCATTGATGGTTAAGGTACATGGCTAATAAGGTACCCTCGTTTTTCTCGCTCTTCATATTGTCTTCCTGCGACTCTTCCTCCTCCTCTTCCTCGTAGGGTCTCTTCTCCTCCGAGCATTTATTCCTGGGAGGCCAGGTCATCTTGTTCTCCTTCTTGAGCCGGCGCCGGGCGTTGGCGAACCAGGTGGAGACCTGCGTGAGGGTCATCTTGGTGATGATGGCCAGCATGATCTTCTCGCCCTTGGTGGGGTAGGGGTTCTTGCGGTGCTCCTGCAGCCAGGCCTTGAGCGTGCTGGTGGTCTCCCGCGTGGCGTTCTTCCTGCGTGTGCCCCCGTCCATCGTGCCGTACCTGCAGTTCGCGAGACACAAAGGATATCACGGGTAGGCCGGGACAGAGCTGCAGCGGGGTGAGCTTGATCCCTTGGGCGCCCACGGGGAAGAAGACCCCGGCGTGCTGGGGGCACATGAGCTGCACTTTATTTTTTCTAGCAATGTGCAAAGGGCGGGGAGCAGGATTTGGGGGATAAGGACTAAGAGATGGCAACGGATAGCACAGCCTTGAGCAATGATTCAGCCTGGAAACCCGGTTCAGAGAAAGAAGGCATGAACGCACACGCCCGCGTGTTAAAAGGAAAAAAAATGCGCTTGCATTCAATTGAGCAATAACCTTTTGGTGGCATAAATGGGAAAGAAAAATGTTTGTAAAGTCTCCCTTCAGATCCTGGGTGGGAGAAAACCTCAGCCGCTTTAGGCACCCCGCACCCACACAGGCGCCCACTCAAGTTCTGGTCCTGAGCGCTTTGATCACGCTTTCCCGGGTACAACACGTTCAGGTGACCTCAGGGGGTAGCTGTTAATAGAAATATATATTTCCACTTACTGCTTTTATTAGTAATCTCTCCCTACCCTTTTGTTCCTGAAATTGTAAAAACGCCACGCAGATGACACCGGCCTGCACCTGAATATTTAATGCGCATCATCTGGGAAAGGTCAGCGGAGCCCAGTGGGCTTGAAAGGTTGCGATGGTTTAAGTGGTTTGATTCTGTTTTAAACCTAATAAACACGCCAAAGATAAAGGGGCCTTTCGGTTTAACGCCAGGCAGGGGAGGCGAATGGATGCAAGCTCTAGCGAGTGGGAAGCCACCTCTTTGAAAGAAAGGTCGGGGACAGTGGGTTGTATGGACAGACAAGCACGGTTATGGGAAGCAAGGAAGGAAAGAAGGAACAGAACGTTGAAGAAGAGAATAGAACGTTGCGGAACAGACCACGTGGAAGCTGCCTGTCTGATCCGTCCAGGAGCAAGCAGGGAGTTTGCAGCCCCAGGCCGAGGCTGCATGGAAGGAGGGATAATTCAAAGGCTCCAAATGGCCCGGCAGAGCTGGGGGGACTCCTGAACTTGATCCAGGGTTGCTGAAGGGCGGAGTCATATCAGGTCAGACGCCGGGTGCAGGGCACACCCACGCCCCGGGGACAGGGGGCAAGGGAGTGACCCAACCCCCGCCCCTAGCACCCT